GCTACTTGTGCTGCATATAAGTAAAGGATTTCTTTAGTGACTTGTATAATGTAGAAAAAACTCCCCAGAAATAAAATGTATTGTAGATTGAGCCATCTGGATAAATTGGTTTGATGTTTTCCAATAGATAACATCTGTGTATTAGGCAATGCAGCCTGGTGTGTTACCACAGTTAGCACTTATAAAATAAACACAGTTTCTCCTTATGCACAGTTTGCAAATGTATATTTTTATGCCTGATAAAACTGTTCCTTAAAATTACATTTAAATGACAATAGTAATAATAATAAAAACAACTTTTCCAACTGTTATAAAGGTCATGGAAATATATAAAAATTTCAGAGTTCTTAAATGCTATCAGATGCTTCTGTAAAGCTGAATGTTGATTATTACAATATATGGTACTTAAAAGGAAGGGAAGGCGTTTTTGCCTAGGACATAATCCCATATACAGCCCTTATAGAACGCAATGCTAGACATAAGAGTGCTTTTCTTCTAGGTAGTGGTATCTCATTTTTTGAGATGTTCTGTTACCTTTTGAGATTTGTCAGTAACAAGGAACATCAACCATAAACAAATTCTACTTTATACTTGTCACTATCACAGATGTAACTTATGCTAAATGGTGTCCAGTAACCTTAATAAATTGACTCCAAGAGCACAAGTCATTAGCTATTTTAAAAAAGCCTGAAAATTGTAGGTTTTAGGAAATACACTGTGCTTCCTAGTCATTCAGTTCTAAAGCATTTTTCTGTCCTATTAGTTTTAGTGTACCATAGTTTTTCCTTTTTTTTGTTTTTCAAATTAATTCCATCAAAGAAATGCTGAATAGCTGATGGTAGTTTCATTAATCATTCATTTTTCAATGGCTGATCTCAGTCATAAGTTACCACTTAAATGTCTCTTAGTAATCATTATACAAGGACAAATGGAGTAACAACTATCAAGGAATATAGTTGGGCTAGTGATTTATTAACATGATGTAAGGGTGCTGCCATGTAATTAGTAAAAACAGTAATGTCAGAGATATTACTTAACTTCTGCTATTTTTAACATGCTAATAATTTTCCTTTATTTTGAATTTCCATGGTTTAGGATGGAAATTGTAGGAGACGCTCAAAACACATGACTATAAAACTTTTGATGACCTCACATTGCCAACTATTATCAACACTTACATCACCAGGGAAGGGAGATTTTAAATACTCCAAGTGGACAAAAAACAGTTCCTTCTCATGTTAGTAGTTCTAAAAATTACTCTCTGATGAAGTGAGCTGTTGCTTATGAAATCTATTGCATCTAATTTAGTTAGCCTATAAAGTGCAAATCTACCCTGCCTTCTGCCTGATTTCAGACTAACTACCTCTCTGTTCCAAAACTAACAGACTTAGAAAACACTAACATTAATGCTATTTTAAATCATTATAAAACATATTTATCTTTCACCAAAGCAAGTAAAATGGAGCTTCAGGTAAACAAGGGTACTTGAGGACTTTATTTATAGTGTCAAAGGAAGGAAGAGAAAAGAAATAATCTCTCTAAAACATTTTCTAAAACACATTTATGTATAAATTGTATAATTTACAGAACCTGCTGGTTTGTTTTAGTTAATACCATATAAAAGTTTTTTTGCCTCTGCCATTGAAGTCAGGGGGTACCATTTATATAATAAAATATTGCCTATTAATACAGTGTGAGATAGAATCTGCCCTAGAGTGAGTTTAACTGAATAGCTTTCTCATGTCATTGTTCTGTTCATTGTATATCATCTTCAGGAGCATCTTCAGGTGCCATTGATTTATTACCCACACCTAGTGCAATAACAAACTGGACAGCAGGGCTTCTGATGGACAACAATGACATGATTTTTAAATTTGATGGCAAACAAGGAGCCAAAATTCCTGATGGAATAGTACCAAAGAATTTAACTGATCAGTTCACCATCACAATGTGGATGAAGCATGGACCCAGTCCAGGATTAAGAGCAGAGAAAGAAACTATTCTCTGTAACTCAGACAAGACAGGTGAGTCTGTATATTTAAAATCTTTCTGGCAAAGATCCTAGTGATGTTAATGAAATGCTTTTTTCTTTACATCAGGTTTTGTTTTTCCTTTCCCCCTCATCAGTTAATAGAATTGAATACTCTCCGAGCACTCAGTGCAAATTTCCAGCAGGACTTCTGTTTTTGAATAATTTCTCAAATCACATCTGTGGAATGGCTATCAAAAAGGAGAGATTTGTTATTTTTTCTTGTTTTATTTGGGACATTAATTCCAAATATTAAATTAAACCAATTGGATTAAATATTGATTTGAAAACTGTGCTGACATAATTATCTCACCAACTAAATTTATAGGGTCTGATTCAGGAAGGTGCTAAGCACATGCAGTCTCTACCAGGCCTGTTATGAGCTGAGTCTGAGATATGGCATGCATTTTAGTGTGTTTGAATTGGAAATTGCGTATTTAGGTAGAATTTCCTCTGAGACAAAATCAGTTCAACCCAAGTAATGGTCAATCATTGCTCCTCAAAGCCTCTTTATTTGTACCTGTTTTTAGAAATGAACCGACACCATTATGCCCTTTATGTGCACAACTGTCGGCTGGTGTTCCTGTTGCGCAAAGATTTTGACCAGGCAGATACATTTCGCCCTGCAGAATTCCATTGGAAGCTGGATCAGGTACTTGAGCTCTTTTCATTATGTGTCCCACTCCTACAGTTTGGCTTGCTGTTCTTCTCTGGAGGCTGGACCACAGAGGCTCATTAATTTGCTGCTGGCTTTGAGTTAATAAAGTGGGCCTCTTAGTGGGGTCCTCTTCCTCAGGTAGAATGATGTGTGTTGAGATCCAGAAAACCTTAGTTCAGCTTTGCTGCCAGTAATCTACGTAAGGTCATCATGTTGCATTGATTCCTATAAACTCTTCATTTATCACTAAAGTTCTAATTCATCAGTACAGCAGAACTGATATATGCCTTTCCAATAACTGCCACAGCAGATCGAGAGAACAGTGTTTAATAGTGTATGCTGACGTTTCCACCAAATTGCAGTTACATAGTTATATTTCATTTCTTTTGATTATGAAGAAAGCATCACAGAGAAAATATTATTAATTAGGTGAAAGTCACTTTCTGGAGAATTTTAAATTCTAGTCAGGAAAAGGGTCATCTAGACAAACACTGACCAAATTAAATTTACTAATATTTGCTCAGTCCATTTTTTTATATTTCTTCATAGTAATAATTCTAGCTTTCTAAGTATCCTGAATATCAAATGTGATAGTGATAATGATAATGAACCTATATATAATGTTTATACATAGCACTTGTTTCTTATTCATAGTGCCTGGGTTAGAGTCAACACTGGTGTTCCTGAAATGAACATTTCTTAATATTTCTTAAAAAGCTGAACTTATACTAAAGAATAGTCTAAAGTCTTGACAATATGATTTAGTTTCAATTACTATAGTTTTGACTACCATAAAAAGACTTATAAATCAGGGCACTTAAAATGAATCTATCATGTAAAACTACAAATTTGAATAAACAGCTAAAATCCCGATTGCTTATACAGAACTTACATGACCCATTTTGATATGGAAAGCCAAATTAAATCAGATTCTCTTGTGGTAGATATTTTTTCAAACTTTAGGAAGAAAGAGGACCAAATTCTTCGAATAAGTGGAATTTGAATAAAACCCTAGTAACTTAGCTACAACAAAGGACTGGAAAATATACTGTCAGGGATAATCTTCCTTTAGAGGGGATGGACAGAATCATCTAATAGAACTTTTTCATTTGTATTACAAGCTTTTTCATCTCTCATATAATTTGCGATTATTTGATTCAGTCTTCATGCCACTTGCATATTTTTTCTAATATTAAAAAAATGAAACATACCTGAAAACATAGACATGGCAACAGCTTTTGAATTACATTTCCCCCCATTTATATTAAAAAAAAAAAAAAAATACTGTATTTCTTCATCTGGGCTCTGAAGTTCCATTTTTCTTATCAAACCACATTCTTGCTTGTGACTAGCCTTGACATGGATCTCCATTAGCACTCATGGTGTGGATGAGAATTAGCCATTATGTATACTGTTTATATTTGATGCTATGTATAAATGGAGCTAAATTTGAGTGCCTATGTCAACACTTAGTAAATTACTGATGTGGCATCTAATGTCCAACAAAGAAAGGCGAATGACTTTGGCCTGTGGCTGTGGGGAAATTTTTCTATGAAATCAATGAAATTATGACAATTACACCAGCAATTTGTTTCAAGTTCTTTAACTGAAGTTTAAACATAGCTTCAAATACTTGGCTGAACATGCATGTTCTTTGTAATGACTATTTCTTGTAGAGATGACTGAATAAATTCTTAGGGATAGTTTGAGATTAAATTAGTATTACTCTTGTGTTATGGTCTGGAGACATCTGAAGAGCACAACATTAAGTCCAAGGAAACTCAGTGGGGCCAGGTACCTTTAGCAGTCCAAAGTAGTTCTTTTTCAGTCTCAAACCAAAACTACTTTATACCTTAAAATATACCTTCCACTCCAACTACCATACAAACATAAAAACTGGGATAAATACTTTTAGGAACTCCATCCTTCCTTACATTTTTGCTTAAAAGCTATTGAAAGAAATCAAAGGTAGAAAGACTCAGTATGTGACCTTGGTCATTTCCTCTCAGTGTTGGGTGCTTCCTACAGTACCTTTTTAGCACTGTTCCCAGCTGAGATGCGTGTGAGCCTAATTGTGAATAAGTTTTTTATTTTAATAAGTGTGGCCAGACTTCTGTTACTTTACTTCTTACTGTCCTAACAGTATTCTAGGTAGCTTTAACATCTAGGAAAGGGATACGGTAAACATCACTTCTCATGGATAGTAAATCTACACCCCGCTATTTTTCTCAGCTTCTAGCACTTCTTACAATTAAATGTAAAGAGTAAGAGACTGTGTTCCTCATCAGAGACCAGTACATGATTATGGCAATAATCTTATCCAGGCTAGGCTGAGAAGAATCAATGAAACATCAATGAATGTAGAGCATAGACTTGTGCAATATTTTTCACTAGTGCTGCAGAATAGTAGAATTTATGATACCAGCTGCTCAAAGCCTTACGTAGAATTCAAGATGTTGGACTTTTCAAGGCACAGACCATGGGAATCAGCTTGTTGTCATGCAAATATACTTTCCTTGATTCTGTTTATGTTGCAGAAGAGAAAGATACTTGAGTCCCAGGCCTCCTTCTCAGGTAAAGGCACAGCATGGGGAGCAGCCTAAACTTGTATACAGCTGCTCTAAATTAAATGCTTTTCCTCTTCTCAGCTATAGAGTTAGGTGTGGAAAAGTTAGGCTTTTAAATCTGTTCTTTGGCTGATGAATTTATTTTCAGTGTGGTGTGCATTTAGCTCTTCTTCTCCCTTGATCTGAAAATATTATGACCCTGGGTATATGCCTCTATAACTACTGGATTGTTAAAAGGTTAAGGGTGCATATTTGCAAAAAATATGGATGATAATTGTTTCTTTAGGGCTTTGAACTGAAGGTGCATTTGTTTACTGGTAAGAAACAGAAAAAACTAATAGGGACTAAAACTGATTTTTTTTTTTCTTTCCACCCCTCTTTTATCATCTCTGAAATTGACTGCAGCTGTCATTTCAGCTTCTGAGTGAGCCCAGTAGTAATAACCCGGAAGACAAGATGCAGATACATTTCAACAAAATCAGTGGTCTCCCTTAGGCATTCTCTGTTTCTATAACTACAGTGTTTTCCCAAACAATTCCATCACAGATACCCAGTTAGAAGTGGCTCCTCTATCCTTCTTGTAATTGTAGCTTAATATTAAGCACAGAGATGCCTCTTATTTTACCTGATAAAATCATAGCCTCCTTAATTTCTCTAGGTTTCTTGTGTAAAGGGTTAAAAGTTAAAAGGAGATATTTGTAATGATATATTTTCTTCTAATTATGGATCCCAATTTTGAGTTGATTCATCAACATATTAAGATGTAAATCAGCACCTTGCTGGCTACAATTGGCAGCTGGGTTTAAAATATGGATTTAATTGGTTACTCTTAGCCCATGAAAAGAAAAAAATGAGGTTTATAAAAGTCTTCTCTTGGGAACACTTTTCTTCTTCATCTTAGGCAGCTACTGCTGAGTCAGTATAGGACTATTCTCTGGTTATCTCTGGAAGTAGGGTAAAAATATAAGTTTCCCCAAAATGCCAAGGTTGGCTCCTTCTCCAGCAAAGTGACAGGTTCTCCCTCTGCCTCCGCTGTTATAATAGGAGTACAGAATGCCTCATCCTAACTAGCATAGGGAAAGTTCTCCTTTCTCTTTCTGAACCTCCTTTAACTCATCTTTCTGTCACAGCTCTCTGTAGTCCTGCATGAACTAAGACCTAGTAATGGTCTGAATATTTAGCCATAGTTTTAAAGCCTTTCAATAACAGTGATCACAACATTAAATAGGTCAGTGCACAGTATATTTCACACTCTGTGTACCATAAATATTACATTTTTCCAGCTAATAGTCAAGACAATCAGAGACAAGATATTTTTTCCTTAAATCAACAAAATAAGAACACTTCTTTAGGCAATACCTGAGCCAGAAATATATTAATTGTTTTAGTCATAGTGCAGAATTGTTCCTGTTGCTTATCCACTTGCTCATTTTGAGCACAGTCCTGAAGCCCATTGGCAAAATTATCATTGATCCGCTGCAAAAGTGACTGCACTGCAGGATTAGGAACATTGTGGAGTCATTCTAAACTGGCAAAAATAGATAAAGAAGCTGAAAATTATCATTCCTTTTGTAAGGCAAATGAACTACTCCGAATAATCCTAAATGAACCCGAAGTACTGGGTAGTGGAATAGCTTCAAGTCTTGTGTTATCATACATAAAACAATGATTTGACATAATAAGACAGGGAAAGTAAATTATTTAGATAAATCAGTTTTCTGTCTCTTTCTACATACATGGACACGTGCACACATACATACACATGCAGGAAGAAATGGATTGGTATGGACTGGAGAGGGAAAAGAAAGTACTTATTGTGGCCTTCTTTTTTTAATTGAATGATTCATTGACTATGTATAATGAGATCTTACAGTTGTTAGTAGACAGTCGTGTCTTCTGATACACTACACTCCCATTCATTTTGGAAAATAAGCAACTTGTACACAGGCGGGGTAGAGCAGTAACTGCTTTTCAAAGATATGAAGCTGTGTTAGAAGAGGGTAAAACTGAAGGGGTTGTATTTAGATGGAGCTTTCATAGGTAGACTAGTTTTTTTTAATTAGATTTGTGCCGGTAGTATCTGAAAGCTGTTACTATGCAATGGTTGTTTATCTTACATGAAATTAGCTAGCAGTCTTACTCTTTCCTAGAGAACAAGTGTCCAGATTACAGAAACCGTAAATAATATTCTTGCTGATATATTCAGCAGAGAGGATGATGAGTGAGTGAGTGGTTTGAGAGACTGAAGTAATCTCTGAATGCTAGTTGAGTAAGTTATTTTGTTAGGACAGTGAGGCATAAACTTGCATTCTTCCTGTACATTGTACTTTACCTTTGTCTATGGATAATTAAAGTACTCCTGGCTTACCAATCCAATGCTGGTCATGGACAGCTAACAAAAAATAGTGAATTTAATTGCTTATTCTA